CCATGGTCCACCTCAAGTAATCATCAATGACCGTGGTCGCCAATTCATCGCGAACGCTGTGGAAGAATTGCTTCGCCTCTGCACTTCACAGTTCAGACATTCGACACCATACCATTCCCAGACGAATAGTCTTGTAGAACGCACCATTCGAACTCTTACTAACATGCTCGCTATCTACGTCGCATCCAATCACAAAAACTGGGATGAGATCTTACCATTTATTACTTACGCATACAATACAGCGAAGCACGAGACCACGGACTTCACGCCCTTCTACCTGCTCTACGCTCGATCACCACACAGCTCCCTTGATACAATCCTCCCATTTAAGCTCCATACTGATGAGTCCGTAGCCGAAACATTGTGCTGGGCTAAAGAAGCCCGCCGAATTGCTCGCTTGCGCACACTGGCATCACAAGATCGCTCCAAGCAACGGTACGACCAACGCCATGATGCCATTTCATTTCGCAAAGGTGAATTCGTGCGGTTGTGGACCCCCAACGAAAACCTGGTTTATGTCAGAAGTTTTTACCGCAGTACACAGGCCCCTACGTCACTGTAGATCGCTTGACTGACTTGACGTACGTTGTGGCACGCTTGACGACACCTTCTCGTCGGTCAAATCGAACGCAGTTGGTGCACGTGGCTCACCTCAAGAAGTTTCATCCCTCCAGTGACTTAAACTCGCCTAGCGGGCTTCGCCTGTGAACCGGGGATTGCTACGGTATGAGCCGGGCTGTAGTATTTGCCGGGTAGGTAGCAGAGGAGGACGATGTTGTCTGGTGCAGCCTAGGACTCCATCTTTACCGCGACTGCCGAACCTCATCCTCACCCTGTAAATAAATCCACCTACCCTTTAATTCTACCGTAACAATATCATGATGAGCGAGTCATATTTGTCTTACCATCTTACCCTTCCATACTAATTTTGGTTTACCTCAAGCTGAATGGGTGATCAGGTGAGGGCGCTCTCGTAGCCAGACAGAGATGAACATATGTGCACGCTAAAAGCGCCTGCAGTAGGCAAAGAAATGCTTTGCATTTAAAACTCCTGGAGCCTCTCTTTTGGCAAAAGGCAGAGCGAGTTCACCACGTGTTTCTGTTAACACAATTAAACCTCAATAATATGAGCTGTACATGTTGGAAAAATGCTCATACTGCGAACTCCATCGCATCGTGGTTTCTTAGTTTCAATTGCACGAATGATGTTGCACATTCTGAAAGCCTTCCCCTAGTGGTATATTTTCGGTCTTGCATTCATATTACCATTTTATTTTGGATTTTTCTATGAAACTGGATATCTGAGTATTTCAAGTGATAGTTAGAGGTGAACACCATCGTAGAAAGGTATCACTAGATCCATGCAATGCTGCAGCAACTACCACCCAGCAGATGCTTTTACTGAATATGAAACGGAAATTCAGTTATGCTGTTCATTGAGTTGTTCCTACAGCTGTGAGCTTTCGTGTGCTTTTCATGGGCTGATAGGACTGGATATGTGTATAAAAAATAGTGGACTGTGGCCTACTGTTAACTGTGCGATTACCACTACATTGGCTTGTGACGAGATAGGTGCTCCAGCTTTTCTTGCAAATAGTAAAGCTTAAAACTTGTATATCATGTGAAATTTCATTTCTAGAAGTAAGACAGAGGTCTCCTTGATACTTATCACCATCTAGTCTAATACGATGTGCTCATCAAGCAAGTATGCCTGATGCATTGCCACAAGCTTCTTGAAGCTTTCAACAGACAACTTGGCACCTATTAAACATGTATGAGATTTATCTTCGAATTTCTAGACATGTAGACAATTTTGTTATCTACCGTATTTACTCGATTCTACCGTGCCCTCGATTGTAACGTGCACCCGGTTTCCACGACAAAAAAAAAAAAAAAAAAAGTAAGACATCGATTGCAACGCGCACCCATTTTTCTCGTTGGCCCGCACGATCACACCACTCGAGAAAACGACTCCTTTCGAGAGCGTCTTCCGTTTAAATATGAGGTACGGGAGAAGCTTGCGCCTATCTGACGTGCAACAGAGCATTGCCGTCATTCTAGTTTTACCGTGGCCCAATGTCAGCACGCGAACTAGCTTCGCCCCCTTCTTCGATTGATATGTGGGGTTTAACGTCCCAAAACCACCATATGATTATGAGAGATGCCGCAGTGGAAGGCTCAGGAAATTTTGACCACCTGGGGTTTTTTAACATGCACCCAAATGTGAGCACACGGGCCTACAACATTTCCGCCTGCATTGGAAATGCAGCCGCCGCAGCCGGGATTCGAACCCGTGACCTGCGGGTCAGCAGCCGAGTACCTTAGCCACTATACCACCCTTCTTCTCGACGGTTGTGGTGCCAGGCATGTCAAAGTAAAGAGGCGTCTGATCGGCATTCCCGATTCGCCCAAGTAGGTAGCTGTTGTTGTGCCGCAAGTTTAGGACGAACCTCTGAAAACTGTGAAGCTTTTCTTTGCACTCATCCGGCAACTTTTGGCATATGCCCGTTCCCCTTCGGAGGGAAAAGCCTTTCCTCTTCATAAAGTTAGTTAGCCAGCACCGGCTCACTTTAAACTGGCTCCGCATTAGCCCTTTTTCTAAGGCCAACTGCATAGCCTGCACTTGGAGCAGTTCTGTCGTCACGGGCCGCTGTGCCGCTCAATGCTCAATCACATACTCGCTGAGCAGCTCTTCAATTTGCGGAAACCGACCCTGCTGTGGTCCACTGAAGCCTTTGCGTGAATCTTTGCTGTTGACAATATTCTGCTTTTGTTTCCGCCAGTCCCGCACACACGTTTCGGGAACTCTGAACGACCGCGATGCGGCCCGATTTCCGTCCGTTTCGGCACACGCGATGACTTTTCTTTTAAAAGCGGCATCGTGGTCCACTCGTCGAGTTTTTGGACTCGACCCTTCCATGCCGTTGATGCTAATTCACTACAACATGACCAACTCCTCAGCACACGTACGAAGTGCTGCACATGGGAAACACATAGGCAGAAATGGCCGACGCGCTATGCCGACGCACGTAGGGGGCGGCCATTCTGGAAATGCCGATGGCAATAGAATGACCGTATTCATTTTTTTTCCGTACTCGATTCTAACGTGCATGCGATTTATGTACTCGCTTAACCGGAAAAAAGGTGCGCCTTAGATTCGAGTAATTACGGTTCTTCAAAAAAACAAGATTTGTTCAATTTTTCCGATTCCGCTAGCTGAAACTTTATTGTACCGAAACTGCAGCTTAAAACAGCATTTGTGCAAACAAGAACAGCAATAAAAGGGTTTCTTACATTGTAAAACGGGTTATATCTAGGTTTGACTGTACACTAGACATTATTGTAAGCAGAACAACATTTATGTTTGAGTCCTGTCTCTGCCTCTGTTCTGGTTCATTTCACACTGAAACACGTTTTACCACACTCAACTCGCCAAAATATGAATTCTGTAGTTCATACACCAAAGCAATGAACACAAGTGCAGAAAAAAACTGTGGCACTCTGTAAAACTCTTGTCATGTCCCATCAGCATTATCCAGTCTAATTTATTTGATTGTTAGAGCAAAATGGAGAATATTGTGTCATTGTCATAACAGTAAAAGATGGCACCACTGTGCCATTCCAGAGAAACCCATGCTTTGTAAAGCTCATACAACTGTAGACAATAGATACTTCAAGCTGATTCCAAGTAATGTACCCTACATAATACTGCAATTGTGCATTATAATTGATTGATTGATATGTGGGGTTTAACGTCCCAAAACCACTATATGATTATGAGAGACGCCGTAGTGGAGGGCTCCGGAAATTTAGACCACCTGGGGTTCTTTAACGTGCACCCAAATCTGAGCACACGGGCCTACAACATTTCCGCCTCCATCGGAAATGCAGCCGCCGCAATTGTGCATTATACTTACTCGCGTAATGAACACACTAGCATAATAAACGCACCCCCATCTTCAGTCATCAAAATTTAACCACCCGCCTCCCGTGTAATAAACGCACCCCCTACATTCATCCACTGCAGTCCCTCTAACCCACACCTGGCGCCTCCTCATCCGTTGGCTCTCTTCCGTTTTTTATTACTTTGCCAACCCCCTTCAACCACCTGGGCTAGCTCCCTCCTCCCTCCTTCACCCATTGCTGCATGCCTATTGCTTTTCATTCTATCTGCAAGTGGCAAGTCCCCAGTCTTATCTGTGCGCTACAGCGAGGTTCACCAGCAGTGCCAGTGTAGAAGACATGGCAGCTGATAACCACACAGCCAGCCACAGGGTCACCAAACTGCCCCCGCCAACTGACCTTGGTCACTTCTCCCAACCCCCACCCTATTTTCTTTTTTAGACTACTTTCTTTTTTTCTTCACTCTAACTGTCCCTTTATTCCCCATTCCCTGTGAGTGCACGCTTTTGGGCACCCCTCCATATCACAAGCAGACACCACTGTTGTGGTTAAACAATTGCGAGAAAAGATAGTGGCTAAGGTTTTTATGGCGTGAGGGGGCAACCCTGGGACAACTTACAGAAGATAGCGCCATCAATCACAGAAGATAAGTAAAGTGCAAAAGTGCAACAAAGAAGCTGTTTCCAAACAGTGTAGGCGCCTATGTAAATTGCGAAAGGCTGAGCGACCAAACTTTTTTTTTTGCATTACATTTTTTCCTTCTCCCGGAAAAAATTTCATAAAATGCATCCCACGTAACAAACACAATCAACAACTTTGTTTCGATTTTTCGAGAAAAAAAGTGCGTTCAATACCCAAGTAAATATGGTACAAGATGTCCCATTGGGTTCAAAATATTGCAGGGAAGGTCATGTACATATGGCTCCTATATTTCATTCAATGCAGAGTGCCAGAAGAGGAAGCCGCTTCCTTGCATAGGGCTTTTGTTCATGAAAGGCTTATTGTGGATTGTGAATCATGACTTGCTTGCATGCATGCCTAGATACTGCTTTTTGGTTTTTAAACTGATGATGTATTATGCTGTATTTCTGTTTCAGCCTGAAAAGCTTGCATATAGCCTTGTCTTATTCTGCCAAGGCTTAGGATTACGTAAGTACTTGCTACCCTACAAGACTGGAGCTGACATTAACCGACTCTGACTGGTCTATTGCAGTGAGCTCACTGCCGATAACCACTCCGACATCCCTTCTGAAATAGATGGAAGCATCTGGATTTTGCCCTCAAGCAAGATACTTTGTTGGGCAAGTTGGTGTGGACATGATGAAAAGTGGTGAAAAAAAAAAAAAAAGAAAGTAGGAAAGAAGGGTTTTAGTACCACTAGTCCTGTTGTTGCCCTTCTTTCCTAATTTTTTGCTTCATCTTTCACAATACTGTCCACCATTTGCAATAATTTTTGCATGCATTATAGCTGTTTGAAGCATTTCACAGAAGGTGCTGATGTTATTCAAGGATGTTGGTCACTATGTGAACTCTCCATCACTCTTCGTACATGAAATGTTTTTCAGGAAAGGACTGAAAGCAGCTGGGAGGCCTCATACTGGTTCAGTGAATTATGCTTACTGCAATTTATGCTAAGCAACTCACAGTGGTGGTCCACTCGGCGCAATGAACTACTAAAGAGCGTAAAAAGAAGACACTCCGTTGCATGAATTTAAATGCTCGCAGCCAGTTTATGATTTGGAGCGATTTCTGGAGCAGGAAAGAGCCTGTTTTGGAGCAGACGAAAATGTGTTTTTGGGCAGAAAAAATGGGATTTAGGTTCACTTCGAGCAGAACGCGTGAAAATTTTCAGTGAATATTTTTATCAGTGAGCATACTAGAAATGGCGCTGCTATGTAAACAAAAAGACAAGGACAACATGCAGAGAGCAGCTGTTACTCAAGCTCTTAGCATGAAAGAGTGTCACATTTTGGCTTCACTGCACAAAATGGGTGCTGAACTGAAGCACTGGTGACTAGCAAGTATGGCAGATACCATTTTTGCAGATGACCGTTGTCATAAGTAGAAGCCCGATTTATAGGCACTAAAAATTTTGTTTTAGGCATCAAAAATAGGCAGGCAAAACACAGTTTTAGGCCCCCAAAATTGTAATTACGAAAATTCAAACTTTCGAAGAAATGCGTACAGAATCTGTCTACAAGAGCAAAGTAAAAAAAAAATTATGCTTTATGATGGCAGAAAGGCGCCAATGGTTTAGCATAGCTATGGTATATCTTTTTCCGCAAGGTTTGAAGGACATGGGCTCTTCTTTTATTGTCCAGCATGGTGAGCTAAGTGTCCACTGTCAAATGAACACGCTCCTGGGTCTCTTTCTTTTCAGCATGGCTGAGAAGGGCAGGATGGGAGCGAATCGCAAGACCGCTAGTAGGCCAGAAGGGTCTTTTAGCCTCGCATTAACCTGGTCTAATCGCACAGGGTCAATTTCTTCTCTGTCTGTGAACACCTTAAGGGCCCCTCACCAGCTTTGAACATTTCGAGCAGGTAAAAGAATGCATGCACTGGGTGCTCACCATCTCATCTGGGAAGATTTGCTACGCTACGCACCCTGGAAAGAGGTGAAATGTCAGACTGAGCAACGCTTGCCCTTCATCTCACGGGCGCGCACCGCAACATGGTGGAAGTGACATACACAACGGATAGCCCTGAGAAGGTCAAAATAGTACTTGACACTGCAAAATTTATTCTGTTTTTCGAATAGGAGTATGAAGGTTGATAGAAATATTAAAACATTCAAAAGGAGTGTATGCACGTTACTCACTTTTTTATTCTTGGTTTGATCACTGACGATACCCTCTTGATACAAGTTTACTTTGTACCAGTATTATTTTTTGGTTGTCTTTTTCTGAATATATCGAAAACTGGAAGTAAGTGCTGAATATTAAGTTGTTGAAAGTGTAGGAGAATGCCACTTGGTGCGTACACTTGTAATAATTGTTCAGTACAATCGAGCATCATGCATGGCGAGTTGTGGTGATTATTGAGTGCACTATATCTTGCAGGCAATTTAAAATGGTATGTTCTAATTGACAACAAGTTTTCTTCGTCTTCTTTCTTGAATTGTTAGACTGCTGTTTTCCTGGTTGGAATTTTTCTTTTTTTAAACAGACCTTATGACTATTTTGTTTCTTGTGTTCCTACCGTGCCTCTCTGGCATATGAGCGTGAATTGGGGGTTAAGAAGGGTTTTTATCGTGTTTTTATAGGGCCTATAAATGCCTGTTTTTGACATAGGTGCCTAAATTCCTAGAAGTGCCCATAGATGCCTATTTTAAAAATTGGTGCCTATACTAGCTCTATTTAACCTCGAATTTCACTTTTTTTTGGACATTAAACCCCACATATCAATCAAATTTTGCTTTCAAGTACAGTTGTATGCCGATATTCATGTTAGCGGGAAAAATTGAGCTTCCAAAAGTCTATGGGTTGCTTTCAGAAGTTGCTCAGAGGTCGCTTTCAGCATTGTCAAGGCCATGAGGCCCATTGTGCAAGTAGGAAGACCGAGCCTCTGCACAAATATTTATCTGCGTCGTGTCGTCTGCTTGCCATCTCTCCGGCGTCTGCTCACACACAAAGAGAACAGGGGGTGCTTTTGTCCAGCCGCAGGACGATAAACAAATGCGGAGCCGTGGAGTAACATCAGGGGAAGTACAGTGTAGGTTAAAAAGAAAAAAAAACAGACCTCCGCATAGTTTAGTCGGGCAAGATGCCAGACTAAGTTGCCTCCGTTTTATTTGCGTTGGTGTTTTCACATTGTGCCAGTGCCAGCCCTGACAATGCTTGGCGTGTTTTTGGTGCATCATCCCTTACAGCAGTTCCAGTGGTGCGAAGCTGTGTGTCATAGTAAGGAAACATGATCCAGGAAAACCTTTCCAAACATGCGCGCATAGAGGGATCCATCCCACATAAACCAGCAGTTCAGTACAGGGAACACCGAAATGACACAACACGTGCGTGCACGACTTGACTTGGGCAAGTCTTGCAAATGTAACCTTGTGTGCGCATGGCATGTTAATGCATCTGCATCGTGTCATTTCCCACCTCCAAATCGTTCTGATACGAAGAGGATTTGGCTTGCGAAGTCTGCACCAAGCGAGTAGCAAAAGTTTCAAGCTCACCTCCTCGCATCTTGCTTTTGCGGCTTATAATGAAACAATTACAAAGCTTTTGTGATTCAAAGTTTTAAATGCAAATGCATTTCTTAATCGGGCTATGTCAGACGTCTGTCGGTATCCGTCCACCGCCCTCTCCCATGGCAACAGCTGCGGGCGCGCACGCTTATCCTCGCCCTTAACATCCTGAGCATGTGGTGCAAGAGAGTGTAGGAAAGAGTAGGTCCAGTGCTTCACTGCTCCTTCTCTCACCGTTCACTCTCTCTCCTCCCTGCGCCCAACTTTCCCGTCGGCTCGCACCTCCGTTCGCTGGCTGGGCGCCTCTCAAGAACATTTCGACATGTGTGCTCAAGACGCCGCTGTGAAATGCCAACGCCGAGCCGAGAACGCTGTTTTGTTCACTTCATAGTATTTTTTAACCGTACACGCTAGCTACTAAAGCTGGAAAAGCATACCACATTTCTCACGACAGAATAATGGCATGTGCAGCGAATGGCGCTATTAACTGCACAGTGTAAGAAAAAAAAAAAAACATTCTTCTAACGCTAAGTTCTCACGTGCGAAACGCCGTTATGGACGCTACGCTATGCATTTCCTCACGACACCCTTTGGGGAGGTGGAGGAAATTATTATTGGGCACGCAACTACTCCCAGTGTCTAACTAAAATTTTTTGTGCGACCTTGTGAAGCACTTTTTAGAAAGTAAATGACAAACAAAACAAAAACTATGTGGAGGTGTCATTTTTTTTTTTAACCTACACTCTACTTTTCCCTGATTTTACCCCACGGTTTCGCACTTGTTCCTCATCGTCCTGCGACTGGACAAAAGCACCTCCTGTTCTCTTCACGTGTGAGCAGACGCCGGAGAGATGGCGAGCAGACGACACGACGCAGATGAATATATGTGTAGAGGCTCGGTCTTCCTACTTGCACAAGGGGCCCCGTGGCCTTGACAATGCTGAAAGCAACTTCTGAGATGGAGTATAGCTTGCAACCCATAGACTTCTGGAAGCTCAATTTTTTTGTGCTAACATGAATACTGGCATACAACTGTACTTGAAAGCAAAATTGGAGGCTAAATAGCGTTCGTATAGGCACCGATTTTGAAAATAGGCATCTATGGGCACTTACAGAAATTCAGGCACCTATGTCAAAAATAGGCATTATAAAAACACGATTAAAACTTTTTTAACCTTCAATTCATGCTTATATATCAAAGTAGCACAACAGGAACTCACGAAAAAAAACAGACATTTGCCTATAATTCGGTGTCTAGTCATACGGCCGGCTTAAGAAAAATTCCAACCAGGAAAATAGCAGTTTAACAATTAAAGAAAGACAAAAAAATTTGTTGCCAATTAAAGATACCGTTTAAAATTGTATGTGTAAATAGTGCACTGAATATTCGCCACAATTTATCATGCGTGACGCGACGCTCCATTGTACTGCACAATTATTACAGGCATGCACACCGAGTGGCATTCTCTTACACTTTCAACAACTTTAGATTGAGCACTTACTTCCAGTTGTCAAAATATTCAGAAAAAAACTCCCAAAAAAATAATACTGGTACAAAGTAAACTGGTATAAAAAGGGCGTTGTCAGTGATCAACCAAAAATAATGAGAGGGGGCGGCTCTTCTTCAAGATAACTGCCTTGAAAACATTTCCGCTTTGGCATTAGCGGCACCCGCCATTCTCATATTTTTTCATATTAATTCATGCTGTCAAGGTGCGATTCATAGGTATGGGTTCCCATGCTACTAGTACTCACTCTGTTCTGTTGGGGAATAAGAACGATGTCCTGTGAGCACGCCAAATGACAAAAATTATTGGTTAGGACGGAGGAGTGCCGTCGGCAATCTTTTTTTTAGGAGGGAGGGAGGCTCTCCTCTCCCCTCGATTCCCTACGCTTGAATCCGGGTCCCAGAAGGCCCCTTTAGGGTGAAGCAAGTGCTGGGGACTAATGTTACTACATCCGGTCTGTTTCCTTAAATTACAGTTTTGCAATGTAGTTTGGACTTAGCGAAGCTACCACACACCGCAGTTAGGAGCGAGCGATTCTTACGGCAGTAACACTCGGTGCTCGTCAATTTGCGATTTGCAAACAAGCGGTGGCCGTGCTGAGCACGCTTGCAAGTGTGGTTTTTGTCAAGCGCAGGAGGGAATTAGTTGGGAAGATTTACAGGCCAAGAAGGCTTTGACCTTTTTGAGCATGACGATACAATAGAAAATTGTTGTAATGGCATTTAGGGTGCATGGGAGCACTCTTTCTTTATTCGTGGCTGACTGCGCAGCTCAGTTTCTATACGAGAGCTGGCTTGCCATGGCGTTACGTCTGTTTTGCAATCAAGACTCTCGACAAGCCTTGGACATGCACGAGCACTACAACAGACGCGCTCTACAAAGACATTTCGACTTAGCTTTACGGCTGGCATACCAAAGAATGTTGCACAGTGTGTTGAAGAGCAGTGGCTATGTTACGGCATCCGGAGTAACTCTCGAACCAAAAAGATGACTTTTTTTTACAAGATATTGCCAGTTCCCTGCAACAATCGAGAAAGGCATGTTAAATGTTTAACAGAGACAAACATAGCGGCCAAAGTCTTTGTTTAGACAGAATAGAATAATGAAAAGCGCATCACTAGAATAGAGCAAGGACATCGACTGTATTAGAAAAAGGCCCCAGTTTTGTTGTTGCGCCCAAGCATAGTTTTGGGCCATAAACAGGCCAATGCCGTATAAAGAAGTAGATTAATGAACTTGGGTGAATTTGGCACACTCTGAACTCCAATGTGCACAGCAAGCCGCAGGGATATAGAATTGTAGCAGAATCGCACAACTGGTGCAGTTGGACCACCACTGAACTCGGTTTTACTGGTTTTACAGAGCAAATGATTTGACTAATACTTATTTTACCAAAAGTCCATTTTATTGCACTTGTGTAGCTAGGTTTCATCTCATTATATGCTGGACATCAAATACTTGCAGTGATGTTAATGTGATGGGAGCTCGTTACATTTGAAGGTCAACAGTCATTAGAGAGCACTCAGATATTTCTACTTGGGTCACACTAAGCATAAAAGAATAAAGGATTTGTGCTACGTTGTACATAGTAGCACAAAAGCATACCACATTAACACTGTCTAAGCCCACAATGACATCAGAGGCTACACAGGATACAGCTCGCAATGTTTTCAGGCACACTAGATGAAACTGTCAGCATTAGCATTTGGGAACACTTCACAGCTGTGCATATTTTCTGGCCATAGCATTGTGTTATTTTTTTGGGGAGCTTGCCTCTTGTACAGCTCTTTTTTTTTAATTAAAAGATTTTATGCTTTCACAGTACACACAAGTTACCTGCATTTCCTTGTGCACCATCCAAATGAGTGCGGTGCAATAGTGATTTGTGTGAGTGCTGTTTCTGCAAAGGGCCAGTTCGAAGTCCCAGCAACATGCTAATGAAATAAAAATGCATAAGACCAACATTGGCTGTGGTTATTTTATTATATACTTTTTTTTATGAGCTTCAAAGACTCCTCTGCACTCTCCGTGTTCTCCTTCTTGGAACTGCAATCTTGAACTTCTTTCTAGTGGTAAGAAAACAGCACAATGCAATATTCATGAGATTTCTTTAACAGACCACTGTACACTTTCTAGAGAGCTTGTAGGGCCCATCACTCCAGTTCAATAATGTTAAGCATATGCATACACATTTATGCATGTACTATACTAAATTGTATATTCATTACAGAGCTCTTAGTGTCTATGAGTGCATTAAACTATTGTATATTGCAAATATTGTATTATCCAATTGCCACAAGATGTTTATACATATATATGTGTCCACACAAAAAAAAGTAAAAATGCCGGGGCAGATGCAGGGCCACAGAGAGGTTAAGAAGTTTTGTTTTCTCGTAACACATCACTGATAAGTGTGGCCACAGTGCGACTTGGTGTAATAAAGTTTAAAAACAACTGGAAGCAGGTTGACATCCTCAACACAGCAGGAACTTGCCTCATCATCTGGACCATCATCATCACTGCCAGCCATAACGCATAGCTCTGCATCTTCAAGTGTCGGCGGTCCTGGCTCGCGTACATCGTAAGAGTGGAGTGGCAGGTTCTCCATCCAGTTTAACATTCTGATAAACACAGTCATCGAAAATACGAGTTACGCGAAAAGTGCCCATTTACACGTCACTTATGCACTTACAGTAATATAGACAAGCCTTAGATAAAACTAAACTGTATAGTGACGGACAACCAGAGAACAGAAATGGAGAGAGAACTTGAAGCTTACTGTAAAAATTTGTGAATTCTATCACAAGCAAGCGACCAATCGCGCAGTACAAAGTAACAGCATAATATGGCTAAATAGTGCATGCCTTTGCCACTGAAATCACTTCACAGTGTGCAAGATGTAGCCTTGGCACCATATAACTTAAATTAGTCCCTCCAGTTTGAAATTACTTTCTAAATAATCTTGATGGAAGTGCATGTAGACTAAATTAAGAGTTAACTGGCAGACTAACTTATTTGGCTAGAAGAAAATGAATTTTGCGCACAGTATGAGCAAACAAGTAAAAATACATAACGGCAAAATTTGACGAAACCTCTGAAGTTGCAATTAAGGCTCACTCACGCCTGCAACAACACTGTCCTTGCACCAAACTTGGCAAACGGTCGCAAATGGCCACTTTGGTCGCAATGTGACTGTGTTGGCTCAGTTGCTTGATGCTTGATTTTTTAGTCGCACGACTGAAGTTGCACACCGCTGAACGAACACAGACTCTAATTTAGTGTGGTGGCAGGGTTCTGTCATACCGGCATGAACAACGGTTGCCTTGAGTTGCTTTTTTTTTTTTTTTTTTGACGCCATTCGCAAACGTTCACATGACCGGCACTAGTGACTTGGGTAAATAAGCTTTTACTGACACACACCACTGAAAGTAATGACTGTACAACTGAGCTTCAAAATGACAGTTGTGTGAATGCTTACACTTTCAGTTATTACGAGGAAAAGAAAGCCGTGCACCGATTTCTGAACCTGCAAAACTAGGACTAACAGCCAAAAGGATACGACTTTTCATTTTTTTCTGTCTCCACGATTGTGGGGAAGATGTGCTTCTCCTTGAATGCCTGGATCAAGTCCTGTATTGAAAAGCAAGAAGAAACACTCAATGCTTGCCACGGCCACCATCATGTTAAATCTGCAACATGGTAAGCAAGGTGTTCAATTGAAACACAAAGGTCTGAAACAATTAAAAGCATACCAGCCAACCTGGGGACATCAAACGTTAAGAAATTCAGAAGAGTGGGGGGGGGGGGGGGGGGGGGATACCAAAGTGGCACACGTTTTTATTTGTTGTTTCTCATTGCTGCAGCAACATCATGAACAGCTTTGAATGATTGCCAGTAAAGTTCTTAACGTAAGCGGTTGTACTAGTTAGTACTAGCAATTATTTAGTCGTGAACAAGGGTGCATAACTGCAAGGGAAATGTGTTCTTTACCATGACGGATAGTAGCCTCATACCAGTATTGGCACATTTTCCCATTTGATGTGAATGTACTACGGCAATGTTTTCTCATCTGCCTTGTGTTGCACTGGAGCCTGTGTAGTGGTCAATACTGAGATGAATCAAAAAAGACAAAAACGTGCACAAAAACTGAAGTTACTAGTTTTCAACTATCAAAATGCCTGCAGACGAGCAAAAAACATCCCGCTCATTGGGCACGAATGCTGGATTAACAATGCCAGCATGAGAACAGGGTAAACGGAAGTGAGAAAACAAAATAGTGAACTCCCCCCCCCTTTGCTTCTCTGGGATAGCACACCCGCTATAGTGAGTAAGAGAGACGTTGATACAGTCAGGTCAGCTATCATCAACACAAGAAAAAGGCACGTGATCGGCGATCTAGCACCGTTATCTGGGTCCGCCTGCGTTCCTTTCGAGCTACCACCCGCTTGCTCAGTCCTTCAATAAACCCTCTTTACACCACTAACATTGGGCATGCAGAGAGTGCACATGTGACCAGCCATCTCTGCTCATTCAGCTTCTGCCCCTCTGCTACTTTTACATGATCCCCTCTAGGGCTATAAAAGTAACATCTTTTTCTGACACCTAAACTACCTCTCTCCTGCCCTTTCAACTGGTACTGTACAAAGAAGCAAAACAGCCCCACCGCACTTACTGCATTGATTGATGGAGGAAATGTACGGCCCACCTAACTGCCCTCTTTTACTAACCACTTTCCTACCACTTCCATGACACCTAGGTACTCATCATCCTTTTTCACACCACCATGCACTCAATCTAATTCCCCCTGCACCTCCGGCACACCGCCTTTGATTTTGCAGTTGAATGCACACAAGGTTCCAAAGGATGTTATCGTCCTTGGACTTTCTATAGAACATCACAGTGATGGTGGCGGCGAATTTTCATTTGGAGTGTTTCAATAATTGCTATCACGATAAAAATGACAGCAAGTTTAAATGAACCATAAAGGTATTTGAGAGTGTAAAACACACAAAATACACAAGACCTAGACAAGATGAGCGCTTGCTTCAATCGCAAGTGAGCCCTTGTCTTAAGTCTATTTCTTGTGTATTTTGTGTTTTGCACTCCCAAATACCTTCATGGATCAGTACAGACTAGCCCAACTTTCTCTTCTGAATATAAATATGAAGTACCTGGTATTCACTTCATGACTGCAGGAGAGCTGTACCTATTACTCAAGACATATCAAATTGCATAAAGTTTGGTAATGTCACGTAAGGCAATACATGTGCCTGAACACTTCTTGTTATATGCTATGAAGGGGTGAAGTTTTGGGCATTTTATATCTTTAATGTCAAATGTTCAGGTGGTAGGGGGCTTACTAATTAGTTCACCAACCTTGTTTTTGCTTCATTAACCCTTTCAGACACCAGCTAAGAAGAACTGTCTGTAAATGTGTCAAATCACTACAATGTTACTTCAAAGCCCTCAATATTCTATTACAACAAGAATAATGAGATAATTATAGAATATATGTGTGTTATAGTAACTCTTCCTAATTCCATTGTAATTACTAAATATATTTTGACCATGAAGTCATCTATGCTTACTTTTGACAAAAGGGAATTAAAATATCAGGCTAGAAATATAGTACAAGCTCATTTTTAGTTATGTCCATTTCGAGCAAAAAAAAAAATTGTGCTTTTCATTTCACGTTGCTTGCAGGAAGCGGCACGTGACACGACTCGTTGCACATGGTAGTGCCTTCAGAAAAGTGATCATATGTATCAGGACATTGCAAAATGAAGTTAAATGATGACAAATTTATTATGCAGTAGGTTAAATTCATCCAAACTACGATATATCTTGCTCTTTCTTAGCCCCTACTTGATGCAAATAGCAAAAACAAGTGGTGTATACAGTTGTGTATATAGCGTCTCGAAGGGTTAACACCCGCCACAGTGGTCTTGTGGGTATGGTGCTTGGTTGCAGACCCGGAGGTAACGAGATCGAATCCTGGCCACGGCGGCCACACTTTCGATGGAGGCGAAATTGCTCAAGGCCCATGTGCTTAGATTTAGGTACACGTTTGAAAACCCCAGATGGTCAAAATTTCCTGGAGCTTTATACTAAGGTGTCTCTCATAATTATATCGAGGTTTCTGGGTATTAAACCCCATTAATCATTACTATTTTCTTCATTAACACTGCTTTATATTTAGTATGCTTCTGATGTTTATAGTTGTTTTTGGCACAAAATTCAGAAAAAATGGCCAAATAGGTCAATTTCAGTTGGCAAAGAATATTAAATGAGATTGACTTTCAGAAGTAGGCACCAGGGCACTTTTGTTTATTTCACAGGTATATTGCTTTACAAGTAATTGATTGATATGTGGGGTTTAACGTCCCAAAAACCACCATATGATTATGAGAGACGCCGTAGTGGAGGACTCCGGACATTTCGACCACCTGGAGTTCTTTAACGTGCACCCAAATCTGAGCACACGGGCCTACAACATTTCCGCCTCCATCGGAAATGCAGCCACCGCAGCCGGGATTCGATCCCGCGACCTCCGGGTCAGCAGCCGAGTACCTCAGCCACTAGACCACCGCGGCAGGGCTGCTTTACAAGTAAACAAGCGGTAGTTATTACACAGCACAGAATTGGTACTGTTTGGCTAAGTGGTTTGAAAACATACATATGTCGGGCATGAACTTTTTAGAGTCTCTTTTGTCATAAGAAATGAGATGCACAGTGGTACACACCTGCTTGGCCTCCCAACAGAGTGGCTCATGCAGACCATCTCCACCGTAGCGCTTGTTGTAGCGGTCGTAATGCAAGTGTTCAAGCATCAGGCCTAGTGGTGGTGCAATGGGGATGTCCAGCTGAATTTGAAATATGCATATGGAATATGAAACCTACGTTATGTACGTACCTCGAGAATGAAGAAGAGATCAATACCAAGCTTACTGAAATAGTGCAAATGCTTTCACGTACAAGTCAACTAAACAGTGAAAGCATTAAAGATGCTACAAAAAGAAACAGTACAGCACAACTGAAATTTCTACTGTAACATTTCCTGCAGCAGCTTGAAATTGGGTTTGCCTTGTCTGTCCTGTCTATCTGTCCATTCTGTTATGCTGACACTGAGTACTGTTATCCCTGACTCATCATTATAATTTTGTGCTGTGAGCAGGCCGCATCTACCCCAAGATTCATCACCACCACAGGGCATAAAAAAAGAAAACTTATTAACAACTGCCACTGCTGGTATTTCAACAAATATTACTGGAGCATTGTGCATGTAGACGCCTCCTTTATTTTATCAATGCCAGCCAGATGCGAGCCCAATCCAGCCGTTCACCACCATCTCCTTTAGCCCTCCCTGCTCTCGCCCATCGCCTAGCCTTGGCGTGTGCTTTGCTGTCATGGGAGAAGGAGCCCCACATGCAGTGCCTCATGATGGAAATCATATGAAGTAGTGTTTTGTTCAGTTGTGTACAGATTCGTGGGGCAGCATCTTGCATTTCTCTTGTTCACTATGTTGGCAGTCACGCTGGCTCTGTAAAACATACGGTGTTTCGGGATAGCGTGTCGCTGTTTGTGGCGCTGTGTGGGCAGCCAATAGGAAAGCGTCACTGCAATGCTAACTACATGAGCTGCGCATGATGTGGTGGTGGCGGCGTTGCTTTGAGCCACAAAAAAGGGAGCACGAAAGAACAAATCTGACTGACGTATGATATTGAAGTGGGAAACACATCTATTCCATCTCCGAAGAAAAGCACTCAGAAGCATGTGTGACGCAAGCAGCACTACCTATCATGTAGTGTCGCATCACGACCACTTTCTGAGCTAAGGCGGACCAACAGCTCCTGTTGATAAGCGCACGTTTGCACTGGCATTGAAAGAAATAAAGGAGGCGTTGATAGATATGGAAGATGAGCCGTTTTGTGCTTCACAGACTGCAAGTTGTAGGTTCTTTGAAAGGGCCCCTAAACCACCTCCAATATTTTTTTCAAAAATTTCGAGTAAACATGTGCAATGTGTGCAGAAGGCTGTCGCAATCAATGATTCTACAGATGGCAGACCTACGTGTCACCAGCATGCCACAAATTTCAAGAAACAATACCTCAACGGGTCTTTCGGGCCCGTTGAGGAGCTGAGCGGAGAAGTTGAATCTCTGACGCACAGCAAATATGCTGTCGTTGGTCGAGCAAGAGCTTACAACTTCCGGTCAGTCAGCAAGCAGCTGTCTGCACTGCTTGTTGTGCAAAAAAAATATAGATGACAATGATGATGAACCAGACGATCAGCCAGGTACATATATATGTGCTTGCACATTGTCCTACTGGCCAATGGAGATGACAAATATAAATGTCTGGCTGTTTTACACCAGTTCTTCAAAATCATTCCACTATCCATAACCAACATTACAATACAATACACAAAGGAAAGAAAGGTATACATAATGCAATAGAACTGACAGGATGAAATATTTTTTAAATAGTAAAAAAATGGCATAGGCTTCTGTCAAAGCGCGGTGAACAAAATCCCTAATATACAGCTCAATGACGTTAATCCAGCCAACATAACACAGAAAACCTGAGGGTGTTGGAGTGTGTCTATATTCATCATCATCATCATCATCAGCCTGACTACGTCCACTGCAGGACAAAGGCCTCTCCCATGTTCCGCCAGTTAACCCGGTCCTGCGCTTGCTGCTGCCAATTTATACCCGCAAACTTCTTAATCTCGTCTGCCCACCTAACCTTCTGTCTCCCCCTAACCCGCTTCCCTTCTCTGAGAATCCAGTTAGTTACCCTTAATGACCAGCGGTTATCCTGTCTACGCGCTACATGCCTGGCCCATGTCCATTTCCTCTTCTTTATTTCAACTATGATATCCTTAACACCCGTTTGTCCCCTAATCCACTCTGCTCTCTTCTTGTCTCTTAAGGTTACACCTACCATTTTTCTTTCCATTGCTCGCTGCGTCGTCCTCAATTTAAGCTGAGCCCTCTTTGTAAGTCTCCAGGTTTCTGCTCCGTAGCTAAGTACCGGCAAGATACAGCTATTATATACCTGTCATAATTTGAGAGTGCTTGCCGAATGTACTCCACCCCATTCTTATTCTTCTAGTTACTTCAATCTCGTGGTTAGGCTCTGCGGTTATTACCTGCCCTAAGTAGACATAGTCTTTTACAACTTCAAGTGCACTATTACCTATCTCGAAGCGCTGCTCCTTTCCGAGGTTGTTGTACATTACTTTTGTTTTCTGCAGATTAATTTTAAGACCCACCTTTCTGCTCTCCTTGTCTAACTCCGTAATCATGAGTTGCAATTCGTCTCCTGAGTTACTCAGCAATGCAATGTCATCGGCGAAGCGCAGGTTACTAAGGTATTCTCCATTAACTCTTATCCCTAACTGTTCCCATTCTAGGCTTCTGAAAACCTCCTGTAAGCACGCGGTAAATAGTATTGGGGAGATTGTGTCCCCCTGCCTTACACCCTTCTTGATTGGTATTCTGTTGCTTTCTTTATGAAGCACTATGGTAGCAGTTGATCCCCTGTAGATTTCTTCCAGAATGTTTATATATACTTCATCTACGCCCTGATTCCGCAGTGTCTACATGATGGCTGATATTTCTACTGAATCAAACGCCTTTTCGTAATCTATGAAGGCTATGTATAGTGGTTGGTTATACTCTGAGAATTTCTCTATTATCTGATTGATAGTATGAATGTGGTCAATTGTTGAGTAGCCTGTTCGAAATCCTGCTTGTTCCTTTGGTTGATTGAATTCTAATGTTTTATTTACTCTGTTAGCAATTACCTTTGTAAATAGCTTGTATACTACAGAGAGCAAGCTGATCGGCCTGTAATTCTTCAAGTCCTTGTCATCTCCTTTCTTATGTATTAAGATGATGTTAGCGTTCTTCCAAGACTCTGGTACCCTTCCCGTCAGGAGACACCTCATAAACAGGGTGGCTAGTTTTTCTAACACAATCTGTCCTCCATCTTTCAGCAGATCTGATGTTACCTGATCCTCACCAGCAGCTTTGCCTCTTTGCATGCTCTCCAAAGGTTTTCTGACTTCTTCTATCATTACTGGTGGGGTATCATCTGGGTTACTGCTAGTTCTTATAGTATTAAGGTCGTGGTTGTCTCGGCTACTGTACAGATCTCTGTAAAACTCCTCCGCTATTTTAACTATCCTATCCGTATTGGTAGTTATTTTGCCTTCTTTGTCAGTTAGTGCATACATCCGACTTTTGCCTATCCCAAGTTTCCTCTTCACTGCTTTAACGCTTCCTCCGTTTTTCAGAGCGTGTTCAATTCTCTCCATGTTATACCTTCTTACATCGCATACTTTACGCCTATTAATCAACTTTGAAAGCTCTGCCAGTTCTATTTTGTCTGTTGTACTTGACACTTTCATGCTTTGATGCTTCTTAATTAGGTTCTTCGTTTCCTATATTAATTATGACTAACAGACAAACAGTTCTCATCTCTATTGTGTCAATCAAAGGAAAACTAGCTCTTAAATTCTCACTTCTTTCCTTCATTTAAAGTGCATCCATGTATTTCAAGCTTCACTTTATGCACTACTTTGTCACAAAAAATTTGCATATGGCCGAACTATGATTGTAAAAAAAATGGTAGCTGGTGCACACCCAATCTGTAATACCACAGAACCTGTATATTTAACTTTTGAAGGACATTTACATATTTCCTCTAAACTTCTAATCATTTTCAACAGCTAAGGCCTCCCTCACAAACAACCATCCTATAACTGCTGGCTTCTTAGCCCGTTCCCCAAGGCGCTTGAGCATGATTATTTGAGCGAAAAGTAGGCACCCAAAAACAACATGGTGGTCTTCGAAGGGGGAAGTTGTTGCTGCCACAGCAAATTACTTTGGAGCTAAGTTATGCTCACTCTATTAAAGTATGCTCACTCCATGATTATTTCTTCCATACTTAGCAGTAACTACTGTTTCATTAAATAATCAATCAGATAGAATATTCTACATGCATATATGTCACATCTCTAGTAGCCCTACCATTGTGAATGTATGCTATCACTAGGTAATGAATGTACCACTTCCACACAAATAACCAAGGCAGCACTTCACTGAAACTAAGGTATATAAATATACTTGGCATACCTACACCAACACTACGAGCAAGGTTGTAATAGGCACTACAAGCAAAATGAGAGTCACCGGCACCTAAATGCCTATGGCAATGCTGTGAAAGGAAAGAAATTCACTTGCTCGTTCAGGGCCCCATGCCCGGCGAATCGTAGACTGGTCTGTATGCCCACGCATGATGGCGATGACCAGGCCGACCATCTTTCGTATCTGGTGAAGCATAAAGCTCTGGCCCTTGATCCTAATCTGCAGAAACTCTATATCCCCCTGAATGAAAGGCTGCCCACACTGAAATAGACAGGCCTCAAGGGTCAGCCACTGGTCAAAGAAACAAACATGCAGGTAGGAGTATGAAATATTAAAGCTCTTGCCTCTATAGATATCATGAACCTCATTGCACTTGGGTCTTCCGATTTCCTGATGAAAGAAAAAAAAGAGTTGGCCACATTTTTTTACACCCAGGAATAATAGCAGTTTTTAACTAGTGTTGAAAGTGTGAATGTGAGAAGAAGTAGAAGGCCTAGCAAGATATTCTTTTTTCTATGTGCCAGTGTGACATTGGTATACTTTATTCACCGACTCTTAGCTCGAGGGTAATCGGCTTTAAGATCACGCCACAGTTGGCAGTGCTATTGCTGTGTTAGTCTGGATAAGCAGTGAGCGACATTAGGCTTGTGCAAATAATGAATTTTAGGTTTAATGCTAATCTGAAGTGAATAGTGATATTGTCGAGTAATTTCAAACCAAATTCAAATAGTATCATCATCATCAGCCTGACTACGTCCACTGCAGGACAAAGGCCTCTCCCATGTTCCGCCAGTTAACCCGGTCCTGTGTCTTAGCACCCTCTGCTACGTTGCAGATCTGACCACCGCCATGGTCGGTTGCTTCGCAACTGCCGGGGACTGAGGGCCGTGAGTTATTTGACGTATGCATGTGGGAGGTTGTGGCCAGATACTGCACCAGGGTGGTCAATCCTTCTCTGGTGAGGGAGTGCGTTCCCGGTGGTGGTTACCGGTGAGGCCGCACCCCAGGCCTCTTAATGCAGTTCCATCACCACTCGAATTTTTTTAAAATCCGGTTGGGAACTGCGCGGCACCGGGATTTGAGCCACGGACCTTTTGCATGCGAGGCGGATGCTCTAACCACTACGCCATCGCCGCTCAAATAGTATATCATATATAAATAGAATTAGCATATTTGTCAAGACTAAATATACTCTGCAAATTCTTTTTTTAAATTTAGAACAAGGCATGTGCAAAGGTCATTCTTCTTTGTTCAAAAGAACTGGAAGCAAGTTTTAAAAGTTGCAAAATTTTACTTTCCATAAATGCATGCGATAACCTTTAAAAGATGTTAGAATTTAAAATTAACTACACTTACATCATATATGCTGATATAAGAAGATTTCAAACTTGAAAAGAACATAGAGTTACTATGCTGCAAATTGTTCATTGCTGATTGCGCCTTTTAGTATAGCGGGATTGCGTTTACGTGAAGCTGTGACGATGGCGCCATCTGGCGGAGGACGAATAAGCTAAAACCGTGGGGACAAAAAACAGAAAAAAAAAACAAAAAATACTCATCTGAATCTCTGCACACAACAATATCAGTACTTTTCTAGTAATAATAAAGTAAATAACTACGAACCACACACCAAAAGTGTGAAATCATATGTTTCAGATGTGTTTACACAGGTTATTCTTTGAGCTTAAAAATGTTCAAAATGGGAAGAATCGTCAAAGTTATCTGGAAGCAAGTGAAACCGTTTAGCACAGTCATTTGCTGCAAACAGAATGATTCCTTCAGCAGCAACACCAATTTCAGCTGAAAGAGGGCGTCCGAAACAGCCGCCATGTTTTATACACACTATGTAAACCACGAAAAATATAGTAACGCTAAATCTGAAAGATAGCATGTGTTCAGTAAACACTACATGTCTTTTAGTACTACTGCGCATGCTCATTGCGATCCTGCTATTCCACTAAGCTCGCTAAAATAACAATCTAGAATTACTAGGCAACAGCTCTTCTTGACGGCACTGTGGAAGCTACAGAACCGAAGCACATGCCTGCTATGACGCCAAAAAGAGTACTTGAGTTTACTGATAATTTTATGATTAACCTTGATGGAATTTATTATGAGACTAGTTGCGAGAAGTTGCAGGTAAAATACAGTTATTCTTCATTGTGCCAGAATGGCTTCCTTTGCTTTCCATTTTTTTAGACAGCATCACCTTTCCCGCATTCCAGTTTTTCAAGGTAAACATGGCAATACATGACGTAGTGGGGTCAGTGTGTGGCTGTGAATGCACTTAGTTCCCCAAGAAAAATATACTCGTAGTATGAAACTAAAATAGTACACTGCACAGTTGAAATGTTTCTCCCATTCACATTTTCTGTGTATAAATTTTCTAAGCGTGTTAACAATATGAGCAAGCAAAACTGAAATCGGCCACAAGTTTAATAATTGTTGGAGTTAACGTCCCCAAATCACCATATGATTACGAGTGACGGCGTAGTGGAGGGCTCAAGAAATTTTGACCACGTGGGGTTCTTTAATATTCGCCGAAATCTAGGCGCACTGGCTTCAACTAATTTGTGGCCACCACGGCCGGAATGAGATTTCGTGAATTGCGGGACAGCAGCCAAGTGCCTTAGCCACTAGACCACCGCAGCGAGTTAATCAGTCGCAAGCTGACATACTACTTGCAAAGTAATATGAATGTGCTGAAGCCCAACCTCCGTAGCCTTTGCTCCATTGTCATAAGCTGTCGACGAGTACAATATTTATCAATTTGTTAATTTCAAAAAACACTTCAAGATTTCAGATAAATTATGAATTAAAGTGAATTGAATACTGTAATAGTCATTCAAATATCTGACGTGCTCAAAATATTCACACAAGCCAAGGCGACATGCATAGAGAGCTACAAAGTGTTGCTTTACTGAGAACATATTCAGCATAATTGACAGCGCATTAAATGTGGCGATTGCCACTGAACATTGCCCTCCAATCCCATATTGTCACAGAAAGTATGCACTACGCTCTTATTACATCTGAAAAGCTACAAGGTTCCATTCCACAGGGAAGTGGCTTTTCATAACACAGTTAGCACCTTCTATATTTTTTTTTTTTTCAACATGTGTAGCTTGTGTTTTGCCAGCCATCTTTGAATTACTCGGGAGTGCAACAGCCGGAATAAAATTTAAAGCAATTTTTGGAGCACCAGAATCTTAACTTTGGAGCACTAAAATGCAAATTTGGAGCAGGTTACAGGAAATAAAACATATATTTTTTATCACGAAAGACCAAATTTGGAGCAAAGAAGGCTTACATTTAGACAACGTATGTGCAAGCCATTCAACATCACCTAAATCATGCGGAGTAAACATGGGCACTGCTGTTTCAATAAAACTAGTATTTCGATCTACCCCACTGAGCAAAACAATGATGAAGAGTTCACATTAGCACTTGCCATATTTGTCAAATCATTTGACAGAATGCGTAAATTAAAATGTAGATCTGCCAACCTGGCGACCTTGAAATTCAAGGGATTCGTAAAACTGAGGAGTAGGGGTGGCAAAAAAAGAACAAAAGAACTTGCGCAGTTTTTTTGGGGGGCGGCTGAAGTGTCATACACTGCTCCAAATGATTGCTAGTAACTTTTTCAGACGTCAGCGATCATACTAGTGCTCACAATTATGTGGTAGTATACACGCATGAGTAATTGAATGAAATTCGCTGTCCCGTTACTAGTGCAAACAGTCCCTTCCAAATCATAATGCACTTTTTTGCAGGGCACCAGTATATTACGGCAAAGGTGGTTTAAGAAGAATTCTGCGTGGGTTAGAACAAGGCCAATAAATTTTCTAAAACTGCTACATCACCCCTTCCCCTCCCCCCCCCTCCTTTTTTTACGATGGTGTAGATATGGCGACAGCACCGTATATCTATTGCCGGGGCGACGCAACTAACGCAACTTCAAGACAGAAAAATGTTTTATGTGCTGTTGCTATAGAGACCAACGTGGTCGCCGGCGTTTGCAGCACCTCAACTCCGTTCGCACGCAGAAAATGCGGTATGCGCTTCTAGCTCTAGTTGCTAACATGCCATAGCTGCTTTTACTGACTAGGAAGTTCATATTTGCCGCGAAGTGTTCATGGCTATGGCAACGCATTTTTGTCTTGAAGTTGCGTCGTCCTGCCGATAGGTATTCGTTGCAATCAGCGGGCCGATGGATGCACGGCTGTGTTACTTAATCTGGTCGACTGCGCCTCGCGAATGCCCTGACCTAATGGTATTAAGGTTAACGTGGTAAGCTTACTGTGATTTAAGGTTAGAGTCTGTACGCTTGGATTTATTGATGACTTAAACTGCAGGTGGACAACGTGGCCTCTATTTATCGCTGAAATTAGCCCGTTAAGGAAAATTTTGAGGCTGGTCGGGTATTCTGGCGCAGCGGTGCAATTTCAGCAAATTTAATGGTTTTGGCGAAGCTCGGAGCAAAAATGGGGAATTGTATCAAATTGGCACAATCGACGCAGCTGTTGCACCTCTGATTACTTAGTTCCCCACCTGAACAAATTGAGTATTCAATATTTGCTCATCTGGCACTGGCTACAAAAAAAAAAAAACAGCATTCCTATGCAATGAGTTGAAGTACTGGCTTGTGCCGTTAAGATGCATAAATAATTGTATTTTTCAGACCAGTGCAACAAGGGACACTTGATGTGGCCCTGTGTCTGATATAACGATACAAATAAAACCAATGCTGCTGGAAACTGGTTGAAAAGTCTACTTCCACACTTGATACATGCGGCGGACCTTCGGAATTTCTCTTTTTGTAGAATAAATTTTCCCGACTTTAAGCAAAAGCTCTTTAGAGAATAGCTGGCATATATTTCAGGCAATTATTACTGTTCTACATGGTCAGATTCTGCAGCTTCTTAATTTCACACCTTAATTTGACATTTGACTTGCAAAGATTTTGTTGCTCACAGATCTTTGGTGTTACTGTAGCATAACCACTAGCAGCATGCACTTTTGTCAAATTCGTCAGCCAAGTGCATTTTCCCAACACATGCACATTGGTCCACGCAAAGGTCTGTCAAAAATCACTATCTTGCCAAAATGGGCAAATTCAAACTTATTCTGACAGTTCAGTGGCTAGACTAACTACTAGGAAGTACTGGGTGCACAACAAACAAGTTTAACATGCCAAAATTGAGAATTTAATGCGTTGATCACCAGTGATCGAGTGGTAACAAAAAAGTTAAGCCCAGCTAAGGCTATTAATGTAACAGCTAACCAACATTCACACAATTATATGGTTAAGAAATATCTTGTGATACGGGTTTCAGATTCTTATTTTCGTTTACCTTTGAGTGACATTTGCACCACTTCATTTATGCACC